CTGTAGCATTCGTTAAAATTGCATAATCGATGGTCGAATTATGCCTTTAATATACCTTCTTTATATGCCCTAATTTGCCGGTGAAAAACAGAGAGACGCCAGTATCTGAACAGTACTGGGGGAATAGTGTTAGACAACAGAAATTACCAAATCGTCTAGATTTTTGCAAATTTAACCAACGTAAAATCATTTTTATCAGGTGAGAGTTTGAGGATATATTTAGTAACGTTAGTTCTTACTTTTATTTTTAATGTAAAAAAATGGGAATTTTTTTTTTACAAATTTTACCATGGAAAATCGTGACGTAGTCAATTTAATGTTTCTATACTCTCTTTCACCTTTTATTGCCGACAATTTCCTGCAAATGCCGTCCAAATGCTCATCTGCAACAAACGCTGGCTTGCTGCTGCAGACTGACCCATAAATATATAGCAGGTAGGAAAGCGTGCTGCCAAAATTTGCTCGAAGCTCGCTTGATTTCACACGAATACAACAAATATTCAACCATTCTACTCCATCTTTGTTTCTATTTGAAGAACAGTGTTCACTTGTTATAAAAACATACTGTCTGTGATCGTAACCGAGCTGTGTCACACGAAATCGCAGAAAGCCTGACGAAAATTCTCGCATTCGCTCCCTTTGCGAAGTTTATGTAAATGGCTGTCAGAATCAGGAAACACCCACCGGCGCTCTTCGTGACCTCATTTTTGTGACGCAATGCTGCAACGTTTTTGCAACGCTCCACTGGCGACTTTGACGATCGATCGAGGCTGGTACCGGGAATTGGAAAGCAGCGTGGTAGTTTCACAAAATGCAGTGCGCCGCCTATAGCCCTGTACTTGCAGCCATTTACATAAACTGCGCAACAGGAGTGAATGCGAGAATTTTGTCAGGCTTTGTGTGATTTCGCGTGACACAGCTCGGTTACAAACACAGACAGTATGTTTTTATAGCAAGTGAACACTGTTCTTCAAATAGACACAATGATGGAGTAGAATGGTGGAATATTTGTGCTGTATTTGTGTGAAATCAAGCAAGCGTCGGGCAAATTTTGGCAGCACGCTTTCCTACCTGCTATATATTTATGTGTCAGTTTATTGCAGAAAAAAAAATAAATAAAAAATGTTATACCTACCTACCTACCCTAATTTTCACAATCCATGTGACCCGAACCAAAGGTATTTTTTCGTTTGGCCTAAATAGTAATACTAGTTCACATGCATTGGTTTCAGGTCAATGGTGGTGACTTTCCGCACCTCCTCATTTACGGTCCATCCGGGGCTGGGAAAAAAACTCGCATCATGTGTCTGCTAAGAGAGCTGTATGGTGCTGGTGTGGAAAAGCTAAGGATTGAACATCAAAATTTCACAGCACCATCTGGAAAAAAGCTGGAGATAACGACAATAGCTAGCAACTACCATATAGAGGTCAATCCGAGGTATAGTGGTGGTAGACAATTGTCTAAAGATTCTATCACAATGCAGCGATTCAGTGACTGAAACTCCAACTTAGACCTGCAGCTGTACAACTTTACTAGTGCTAAAAGAACAAGTTTGTTTTTCAGTGATGTTGGTAACCAGGACAGGGTTGTTATCCAGGAGGTTCTGAAAACAGTTGCCCAGTCACAGCAATTGGAAACATCCCAACAGAGAGACTTCAAAGGTATGCAATTTAACTGGACTTACAGGCTGATTTTATTTAAAATATTTCATATATTGTAAAGTTTTTTAATATATATATTAATGTTCATTTACTCAAACATCGAAAATGGTAAAAAATATATGAACACAATATTATTTGGCAAGTTGATTTATATCTAGCACACTACTGTGCGATCTACTTCTAGAGATCCTCTTAGGATTTTTTTTATATCTACATTTTTTTCGATGTCTAATGGCCCACATCACCCAATTCAGATTCCAGTTTATCCCACTTGCTTACCTGTATATTATATAACACAGCTTGACTCATAATTAAATTTGTTTTGGATACTGATCGATTCATTGTTGTTGTAGTTGTTATTTTGACAGAGGTGGATCGGTTGACAAAGGATGCACAGCACGCGCTACGGCGCACTATGGAAAAGTACATGGCCACGTGCAGGCTTATTTTGTGCTGTAACTCCACCAGCAAAGTAATACCTGCTATTCGCAGTCGATGCCTCGCTGTAAGGGTGCCAGCTCCCTCTGTGGACGAGGTAGTTATAGTATTCATTTTACTTTCAATATCTGTTTAATTGAAGGACCAAACTGCTTAGTGTTTTTCTCGCAAGCTGCCCACTATGGCTTGCATGCAGTGTTGTTGTCAATCTTGTCATTTGGAAGTGTCTTGCCAGTTTTGCTGAGTGAGACTTGTTAAAACGGTGATGCGGGCTTACAGATGTGTTCCGTCCTGACAAACGTATGCAAGAAAGAAGGACTCACGCTTCCATCACAGCTGGCGAAGAGGATAGCAGAGAAAAGTGGTCGGAACCTGAGACGAGCATTGCTGATGTGTGAGGCATGCAGGGTTCAGCAGTGAGTATATATTCGTGGAGACTGCACACAAATTAATAATAAAATTCTTTCCTGAGTTAAAGTACATGAGAGAAGTGCTCTAATTTTTTCTTTAAGTAACAGATGTAGTGATTTTCTGATTTTCTTATCTACTAAACCACCCCCGGGTTATTAACTTTCGTCAAATGAATAAATTAGGGCAGAAAAAATTGTTTTAAGGTTGTTATAGGTTTAGGTTTTAACCACAGCTCCACTCCAGCTACACCCTAGAATTTTAGGGTTTACTATAAGAGTAAGCACATAAATAATAGTATATACCTACACATTTCTACTATCATGCATGACACACTTGAAGAACACGTACAAACTGGGTGGGCTTGACTGACATAGCGACCACATCCAAATGAGGGCGTGGTTATCTTACTTAGAGAGATAGGTCAATAGGATACGCATTACATTTCAGGGGTAGAAATTAACTTGTGAACAAGGGAGTCCAACGGACTCCCTGCCCTCTAAAAGAGAGAGTCCGCAGCAAAATGAGGAAGTCTGCAGTCTGAAGTTCAAAACTAAAGATATTAACAATAACGCATGTGCTTATTTTGAAGATTCATGAGGTTGCACGTCTGCCAAATTTTCTTTGGGCATTTACTGAAACATTCCACGAGGCCGTGCTCTGGAACAAACTAGTTAGTATGGCAGAATTTTCAGGGAGTCACACGGACTCCTGCATATGTCAAATCAGGGAGTACGACAGTATATCAGGGAGTATTTGACTCCGGACTCAGGTTAATTTCGCACCCTGCATTTTATTGAGGTGTTTAGTCCAGTCCCTAATCAGGTGACATGTAGTTACCACATGTAAGCGGCTGACGTTCGGTCATGAACATGGTGATTACCTGGGCAGGTACCCATTCAGTGAAGACCAGGAGGTGACGGAAGCAGACTGGGAACTGTACCTGAGGGAGACTGCTAACATGATTGTGCAGGAGCAAAGCCCAAAACGGTAAGCATTAGTGCACTGCTTTTTCATTGAGCTTGCGTGATATTGACTCAATTACTAAGCATAAACTTTTTTGGTGGTACACGCTTTTAATAGGAGTGGGACGACATGGGTAGCTCACGATATGATCCGTATCACGACACAGCCTTCACAATACGATTAGTATCGCGATACTTCCAAGAGAAACTACCTAGCAAACTATACTCCCAACCGGGATGATATGAACCGGAACTAATCATGTGAATGCTTACAAATCAGTATCGTTGAACACTTAGTAAACAACTGCTATGGAATTAGTAATTGTGTTGTTTCTTTTGTTTTTAGATGACACTATGCTACTAATTTCTATAGATTTTAGTCATTAGAGTATAGACACATATATTGTGTTTGGTCAAACGTATCATTACGTGTGTCGTCAACGTTTTTATCATGATACATCGATATATTTATGAATCTTCCCACCCCTAGCTATTTATATTTTGGTTTCCATGCCAATTTGTGGTACTTTTCAGGTTGTTTGAGGTTAGAGGCAGACTATATGAGCTGCTATCACACTGCATTCCTTCCGATATCATTATCAAGGTACGTTTGATATCATTCCGAGCACATACATCATACGGCCGGTGTTCTCTGCTATACAATATGCACAATAAGCAGAATTACTACATACGTTTAAGCCCATTTTGGTATTTCCTAGTTTACTCACTCACATTTTGTTGCACATTTAAACAGGTTTGTTCAATTTAATTGAAAAATTATTGTAGTGATGTAGTTAAACTGTTTTCATTAGTAATATTTACCTACCTTGGTCACGTGTTTAGTATATAATATATATAGAAGTGTATTAACATTTGGCATTTGACATTTTGCAGGGTCTACTCACAGAACTCATCTCCAATTGTGATGGCCAGTTGAAAGCCGAAGTCACACAGATGGCAGCACAGTACGAGCACAAGTTACAGCAGGGACAGAAAGCCATTTACCATCTGGAGGCATTCGTGGCCAAATTCATGAGTATTTACATGCGATTTATGGAGGAAACCCTGATGGATGCATTTTAGTATGTGCACTACTGATAGTGTGATAGTGATCTAGTGTGTTTGTATGCCAGCATGTGTATTGTACTAAATCTAGGTTATACGACTTGATGTTCAATGTGTTTTTCAATGGGTTTATTAAACAATGATGTATAAGTAACTTTCAACCTGTTTACCGCCTACTGCAACTAAATGGTTACGAATCATGAGTAAAACTTATATCATAAAATTGTACTACTGAAATTTATTGTAATTTCCTTCTAACACCTCATATGTGACTTAGACTGCTTTCGAATGAAGGACACAAGAGCACAACATTAGCTTCATTTGTACAATGGATCAGATTTCACATTAGATACATGGACTGCACAAACTTGAAATGTTAGGTCTTCTTGCTGGCTTATAGCAAAAGTAATGCAGTTTGTTATATACATATATGTACACTCGCTGGCACATTGATTCCTCTGGTAGTGCGCCTTGCTTCGTCCACTGAACAAGTACTGTATGAAACCTGACTCAGTGATAGCTCTCCAAACCTCCCCTGCCACACATCTCGAGACTCGTCTGCATCAGTGCTGTGAAACGTTTGGGATTTGTGATCACCACAAGCTGGCAGTAAAACATCAAGGTATGACGAAGGAGAGCCAACCCTAATCGGTGGGATACTGCTGTTGTCGCTATGGCAACCAAAATTGGGCAAAGATGCAGAGTGCTGCAGCCTTGCAGTATTGTGATTCATATCTGAAAAAGAGTGATGATAGAGACACTAAGGTCCAGGGTGCAGAAAACGCATCTAAAGAGGTCTAATTTCAAAAAATTACGCTGTTTTTGAAGATTTGGGTTACAGACCCCCAGACCCCCCTTCGCGTGCTTGCAAGTTTGGGTTACGGTTAGACCCCCCCCCCTGCGTACAAATCCTGTACACGCCCCTGAGGTCTGCATAGCATACACATGTAAATGGATATTAGTGCATTGTAAGATCGAAATATTTACACAACATTATTAATTGCAGTGTTGTATCGAGTCCGCACCCCCCCCCCCCCCGAGTCCGAGTCCAGTTTGATAAAAAAAAGGGGGCACAGACCGACAAGGCCGCTCACTTCTATGTAGGTGTTTGTTAAAAATGTGCGGTGGTCTCCTGCCACCTGGATGCTGTCACTTGTTTGTATTAGGTAGGAGTTTTAGTTTAAATTCTTGTAAACTGCGTGTTTACATATGTACAGGTTATGTACTATGTAGTGGCCTCGAGCGCGCCCCGACCTGAGTCCTCAAGTCAGGAGGGCTCAAGTCCGATCATTGCACTCGCGAGGCCGAGACCAAAGAAACCGGCCTGCGAGATCTGCAACACTGCTAATTAGTGGAGTATTACAATGGGTAAATTACCTTTGTCGCTACGCAATGGCTTCAAAAGCCCTGCTTCTCCAAATCAAGGTGAGCGCTGACGATATCACCAAGATCTGCGGCGCAATTTTGTAGCAGTTCCTGCGGCAAATGACATTGTTGGCCATTAATCCTGCAGCAATTTAAACGAGTAACGGCATTACTACTTGCAACTAAAAGAAGCAACGGAAGTGACATATATTTGTAAGTAGCAGCGCAAACAGTCGTGTGATTCTGCTGTCGCATGTACACAAATGTATAAATGTAAATTTTTACCAATTTTCATTCAAAAACGTCTTAGGCATCATACAAATAGCACCAGTTTGCAATGTAACCGTCAGCGAACAGGTACAGTGTGACTAACAGACACGACGGCGTATTTTCGCATCGAAGAGAGAAATTATCAAAGCCATATTTTTTAGCAGAGGCAAATGTTAGCGAGGATGTTGCTGATGACGTGAAAAACAAGTTCATGCCTAAAAGAACTTGAGACCGTTGTAGGGACCGTGTGGAGCTCACCTCCCAAGCCGTGCTCATAGAAATAACCAAGGCTGTGAGTAGCAGCAAGTATGGCCATCATTCGCCGCCTTTTGAGTACAGTTCCGCTGCCGCTGCTGCAGATCTGCCGCAGTGCCCCAGCCATTCTCGTAACACATGCCCAGGTAGTACGGTGCTCCTGATCCTGCACGCATACACAAATTCACATCTTGTGTAATTTCTATTGCACATTGCTGCTTACTCGAGTTGAGTCTGCTATTTGACTGAAGTGACTTATTAAAATGGTCAGTGGTGAATACTGTCAAACCCGTGTTCGCGAACACCTTTGTGGAATAGATAATTGTCTATAAATAACACGGTCATTGTCATTGGATGCTTTCCTTGCATGGCAACTATACAGTGAAACAATTTCATAGAATTGACACCTGTTTAAATATGACACAGCCATTCCCCTTGAGCAATCCTTATTTACAAGTTTGACTGTGCTAAGAAAGGCAAAGAAAGGCACATGCCATTTTAGACCGAATTTAAATTGAGCTGGACAATAATGGATACTTATACAGCTGCAGACTTTAACATGAATTCCCGTGACTTTTTCTAGGAAGTTTATTGCTAACCCAGGAAACCGGTTATGCAGCATGTGGGGGCTACCTTATGCTCAGTGGCAGTTTTCAGCAGGGAGAAAGCTGTGTCGTAGTCATGTGTCTCCAAGCATTGTACTCCAACATAGGACTGTGCCTGAAACAACAAGGCAACAATCCATCGTGTTTCAGCCACGTATGATAGATTACATGCATTCCTGCTCGCCTGAGTTATGTGCCCATCTAGCTGCTAATGATATTTCATTCAGGCCGAGTGAGTTTGCGCAATACTGGGCCAAAACTGTCAAGTTTATTCCCAGCTAAAGTTCCGGTGCCGGCCGGAACTTTTTTCAAGTTCCGGCTGGTTTTGGTTCCGGCCAGAACTTAAAAAGTTGGATCCGGTGCACCCCTAAGATTTCTATACGTTGAGGGTCGGTATAGAGGACATTATTATAGCTATGATTTCGAAAAGCCATGGTATGGTATATTATACACCGTCAGTCAGTGAAATAGCTTACATTATATACGGACCAATGCTGATGGTGGGAGGGCTTATGGAATACAGGGAATTTGAAGGGTAAGAACGTGACCATGAACCTGGTAGTGGGGAGGGATAGTATCCAGTCAAACCTTTTCAGATTATTAATTACTTTCTAAGTAAAGGTGTACGTGTCTAATTAAATGCACTGGCACATCTAATTATAGGGAGCGAAGTGCGATATGTATGTACTTTTAATAGCATTTGTATCAGATCTTCACCAGCTCATCCATTTTTAAAGTCACCTCTGTTTGAGTTACTTAATGTACTTAATCTCTTCACAAAACAATGGATAGTTTATTTAGGCACATAAAGGCTCACTCGAAAACCACCTTGATATTTTCCAGTCACCTTACTCAGAAAGTTGCATCTTTTTAAAAATTTATGCTCACCTGAATTACACCACCAGATGCAGCCTTCTTTAGTAGCTCTAGTGCTTCCGCCTCAGATCTCCCGAACTGCTCATCAAGAAAGAGAACCCCTAGGTTATACTGAGCCATCGCATGGCCTCGCTGAGCCGCCTGGTGGTAGAATTCTGCTGCCTATAAAAAGTAGAGGTGAGAGTATGATTTAGATTGGCAAGGTTTATGTTTGACAGTGTTGCCAACACAGCAATATTTATGGATATCTGGCATGTAAGTTATTGGGGCGTGTGAGGGATCAAGTATCCATGATAGCTAGCTGTAATAAATGTGTGAGAAATCCAAAAGTGAGCTCTTTCCTTAATGTGAAGACTTGATGCATACCTTTTTCACATCCTGCTTGACACCAAGTCCCTGTTCGTAGCAGACGCCAAGATTATACTGAGCCTTGCTGTAGCCATCCTGGCTGGCCGTCTCAAACCACTTCACAGCCGATTCAAATTTGCTACCCTGACGAAACAAGAGCCACAGTTTAATGACACGATGGGGCTACATAGTGGGATGGAATTATTATACAGCAGTGCTTTACCTACTGTAAGAAAGTCTAATTTACTGTAGTACAGTTTTTTAACCAATGGGCACGTAATTAACCCAGCTTACATACCTGAACCAACTGCAGTCCAATGACGTTGTGAACAATATTGGTGCCATGAGCCAATTTCAGTTTGACAGCCTTAAAGTGATCATCACCTTCCTGTTTGTGAGAATGAAATGAAATTACTGTGAAGGACCCTAACTGTAATCGCAACAATACATAGCCAATATCAAATAACAATGTACATACACATTGATGCCAAAATATAGTTGAACTTGTTACGTGATGAAACCATTATCAGCTCCCATTACACAGATTTAGAAATCGCCATGACCACTGAGTAATCAACAGCCAAAATTGACATAAATATGGATGATAATAGCATTTATTTTACCTTCTTGCCAGCTGTATTAGTCTTTTGTAAAACAGAGGAATTTCCTCTCGGTTCGTCGGCAGTAGAGTAATTTTGATTGTGCTTTTGTGTAGACCTGCTATTCTGCGGAAGAATAGCCCTGCGGATGCCCTGAGGTTGTGTAAAGGCAACTAAAGTCTTGAAAATACATGGCTTTTTCTTTTCTTTGTCACACGGCCTGTGAATGTGTAGTGGCCTCCAGAGTTGCATGCAAAGCACAAATGCTGCTCCCTGGTTGATAAAAACGTAGTAATATTAACGTTCAGGTAATGATACTTCCAAGTGCTGTGGTTACCTACACGTTAGTGCTTGGGTAAGCAAATGCTTGGTATAAAAAGTAATCAATGCTACTGGGCAAATTCAGAAACTTCCAGCATTACGTCTGACTTTGCCTTTAGACATACCCATCTCAATGCTCCATAAAGTCTCTGATGAAGCTGAAAGGCTGACTGCCAGTTATCCTGCTGGAAACTGTTCTGCTTATTGCCTTTAGCTCCACTGCTCTCCCTATGCGTATGGGAATCATCTCCAAGTCTGGAAATTCACACACATAGTTTATTAGATTACGTTGGTCTATCGAAAGTTTTGCGCTCAAATAAAGTATATAGGCCCTTCACTTACAGATGACAGTCCTCAGATCAGGCTTAAACAACAGATAAATAATGGTAAAAAATAATAAGTACCGGTAATAAACAGTTCATTCCTGGTCAGAGGTTGCCCTGGTGGCTGGTGTGAAAGATAGCACACCTCTTTCAATACAGGAAGAAGGAATCACCACATAATACAGTGCTCGAAATAAGCGTTGTCCGGTTGTCCGAGACAACCAGAATTTGCGCCGGACAACCTAACAAGTCTGAGACATTGTCCGGTGGACAACCAAGTAAAAAAGGTGACGAAAAACGCACTTTATTTATGTTTTTCTCACGGGTTCTCCAAGAGCACTTATAGCCTGGCGGCCCGCCATTAATCTATGGTGTGGGAAAGCGACGCATACTAGCTGCTATTTCCAACACTGGTATATGTCAGGTTTTCTGATTTATAGAGCTGAAGTCGATTTGGAACCAGCAAACAGAGCAAGTTCACCCCTACATTTTGGTATTTTTATTCCATTATTATTTGAATTTTCCGATGGCTTTGCCCATGCAAACAAAACATCAGTGGGGATTCATGTTGATCCAAAAGTTAAAAAAAAAGAGAATTGTCGTAGGCAGAATGAAGGCTGTACATGTACTCAAAAGTGCCGCAAATACCATCTCCTGCGATCTACATTTCAAAATTTTGTGGGGGAGAACCCCCATACCCCCGCGCTTGTTTTCACCCCCCGAAAGATCCTAGATCCTAGATCCGCCACTGAACAATTACATATCTTGGGAAGCAGAGAACAATGAACAAAAATGTTGCCTTTTCGCATGGCACCAAAACAAAGATTGCAGAGAAGGTAGAGGAGCCGTAGGGTGTGGAGAGGGAGGTGGAGGACCATTAAAATATTAAGTCATCCACTATTTTGTGCAGTCCTCCTTGTTAAAAAATCCTGGCTACACCACTGTTTTTGGGTGTTTTCTGACCATATTATTATGTGATTGAAAATAGGAGATTTGGGGATATTTTTTTGGGACAACCAGAAATTGTTGCGGACAACCCGATTTGATGCCTGGGTTGTCCGCAGGACAACCACATTTTTTTTCTTATTTCGAGCACTGACCACATAATATATTTAAATAATTCTATAACAATGACAGAACTGTGAGCACCTGGCAAGGTGACGATCATGGCCCTTGCAAGTAGTAGTTGAAGCAACTGTGTTAGGGTTTAATGAACCTTCACCGGTGCTTGTCAAAGGCTGTTGTGCCTGTGGACTCTGCCACAAAGCACTGCCACTTGGTTGCCAACCCTGTCTGAAACCTTCACATTTAAAATAAATTAACATATAATAACCAATTCAGAATTAGCATGGAATCGCATGTTAGTGGTTCACTAGTGGTAATACTAATACTTTACACCCACGACCAGATTTGTGCGTTCAACGGCTAGGTTTATGTCAGCTTAAGCGCTTAGGTTTATACACTACTACTAGTACTAGGTTAGCTCTAGAACACTATAGGATTAGCCTTTCGCTCTGCCAAAGGCACAGGCCTGTGGCGGAGCGAAGGGTTATACATAATACAGCAAAGTTCTAGAGCTATTACTAGTACTAGTAGTAGTAGTAATACTAGAGGGCTGTGTTCGTTACAAGAGCGAACACTGTATTTGGCAATACCCGCTCTTCTCGCTCTTTCGCCCCCAGCATATGTAACAGCATCTGTGTGCGGGCAGCTCGCCTTACAGACAGACGACAAACACTACAGCCCGCCAGACAGCTCTGTATATGGAGTAATATATTTGCATTTTATGTAAGGCAAGTTTTTATACGGAACGTGCATGAGAGACAGGGAGAGCGAGCGGGATTTTTTTCTATCCGTAATCAGTAACCCTGTAATTAGCCCCGTACGTGACCAGAAAAACACGTCATAACACGCCTGTGCACAGGCTCACCGCCCCCTCTGCTAGTAGCAGGGGGTGGTTATGGATCGATAGGTGGCAGCACTGTCCAGTCACACTGCCCAGGCTGAAATATGCAACAATGCACAGGCATTGAAACTGCGCATTGTTTCAAGTGTCCTTTGTGTACAAATACAATGCACAATACACTTCCTTTAATTTTAATGCTGCCTCCTGCAAAATTACTGGTAGGTCATATGATATAGTTCACATGCAGGCACTTGGAGCGTTTCAATAAAATATAATGCTAAATAAATACGAAATCTATTTACTATCAAAGCCACGCTGGCTGCCGCTGCACACTGACACATAAATATATAGCAGGTAGGAAAGCGTGCTGCCAAAATTCGCTCGACGCTCGCTTGATTTCACACGAATTTTGATGAGAAAAATCGGTTAAAAATGCGGGAATCGGGTGTCACACTCTTGTGTTATTATCTACTCTTGCTACTAGTACTAGTAGTAGTGCTCAAGGGGTCGTTGTCGTAACAGGTACTACAGATATGTACCCGAGGTACATATATGTATACACAAAGTGTACCAGACTTGTACTACAGAAGTGTACCCTAACCCTAACACAAACCCTAACCCTAACCCTAACTCTAACCCTAACCCTAACCCTAACCCTAAACATACCTCATATAAAAATATAAACATAATACTAAACAACCTAAAACTACCTCGGGTACTTATCTGTAGTACGGTACCTGTTACGACAACGACCCTTCGTGCAGTAGTAGTAGTAGTAGTACGAGTAGTATCAGGAGTAAGATAATATAGGATCCTATAGGCTATATTATCTTACTCCTGGTAGTATCCCTACAGTAGGGCCCGACCCGAGGCGATAGTCTGTGGTACGGTGGTAGTGACGTAGCTCTAGTTCTATAGCCCGCTTACATTAACTGCCGCTGGCAGCTAGCGGCAGCCAGCGGCAGTTAATGTAAGCGGGCTATAGTACTACTAGTAGCAGGAGTAAGATAATATAGGCTGTGTGATCCTATATTATCTTACTCCTGCTAGTAGTAGTACTAGTACTAGTACTAGTAGTAGTAGTGGTACTAGTACTACTAGTACTACTACTTAGAGCTATTACTAGTACTAGTAGTAGCCCGTAGCACCGTCACTACTCTGAGTCAGAGGTAAACCGACCAGGCTCTCCGACTAGTTACACGGCCACGCCACGTAGTGTTAAGCGAGATGGGAACTTGTGGCTAAGTCAGAGGCAGAAGAATTGCCGCTTCTAGGCCTATATAAATACTCACCTCTTGATAAGGACGTAATAATTTTCCACATATTATTAATATAAGTTACGTAACGAATTGCACATGTTTAACAGTGCAGGAGGCTGAGCGTAAAATACACGAAAATTTATGATCAAAACATCGTCAGCGTGAGACCTTGAGGCAGCGCCCTCTTTGGGCAGCAAACGTAACTTTTGTTTCTGGGACACAAACTGGTAACGTAAATAAATATCCTATAACTATAAGTATAATATACATTGGTATAATAACATGATATGCTACCAATGTGTATTACATGCTATTTAAGGTAAAAGCAATAGGAAGTAGCAGGAGTCATCCAGGTAAAAGCACTGTTCAGCACTCAACAGTACTTTGCTGCGGTCGAATGACTCGCGTGCAGAAATTTAGTTTTGGTTTAGATTACGACTTCGAAGAAACGACCACTGAGAGGTTCCAGGAAGTTTGTAACTTTGTTGTCACATTGTCATTGACACTTGACAGGTATTGCATTTAGACATTGTTCTTGTATGTGCGTTTGGGTCTGTAGCACACAAGTAAAACGTCAGAAAAAGCGGAAATGACAATAATGTCAGTAATACTAATAGCTACGTTAGTTTACGAATCGTCGAATGTAAATAAAGTTGTTGAAATTCAAATAGCCTAGAAACTGCAAGCGATCGACATCTTGTCCATTTCAGATACGTAAGCATCGCGTAATGTGACCAGTTCTAGACCAGTTCACGTAGGCAGAGCAAACAAACAGAATGGAACACGCTGACACTGCGAACGCCAACAGGTCGGGCAAAATTTCCAAACCAACGGGAGGGTATGCAATCCGCTTCAGTAACACTCACGATAATGACTCCGACCAAAACGAGGACAGCATCGCCTTCATGCCAAAGAGCGAGTCCACGGCAACAATCCGATCTGAACCCGACTCGCAGAAGAACCGCGGGGTAGCGCAGATCCGATCATTGAGCCTGGACAATCCCGGCGAACGTGGGAGCACTACCGGGCAGTCGAAGCCGTACTCCGTCCCGGAGAGGGACGGCGGGGCGGCGTCCACTCCCGCGACGGGGGCGCCTGTGCGGAGCGACGTGCCGCCGCGTTCGTTCATCGGCGGTCTCCGCAAGAAGATCACGAAGAAGATCGAGGAGCGGAAGACGCAGCTCGAGACGTCGCCGCTCACCGAGCAGTTTCCGATCCTCACGAAGGTTCTCGATAACCTCGGCGAGCATAAACCCGACCGCGTCGATCGTCAGTCCGCCGCCGCCGCCGCCGTCGATGTGACGGGCAAGTACAGGTCGAAACCAGCACTCGATGGAACGCAGTACCACGCGCAGCTCGCCACGACGACTGTTGTGAGATGCGCGAAACCGGATCCCGCGGCCGACGATGCCGCGGCACCGTCCGTCGAGGTCGGGGAGGAAGCGGAGGAGGCGTCGGCCGCGGGGGAGGCCGGCGGGCGGGACAATTCCCGCGCCGTCGTCGCAGCACCGAGTGTCGACTATGTCGCCCCCGCACAGGTTGGATGCGACGCGGAGACGGTCGCTTATGCACGGGTCGACGGCGGCGCGGCATCCTCCGCGGGCCGGCCGCAGGCGAGGAAGCTCAATCAGACTCCGCCGAAGTCGAAGCAAGGGAAGACGAAGCCAGCGCTGTCGGACAAAGTGACAATGTCGTCGCTGCTCTCCCGCAGCATCGACGAATGCGCCGAGGACGATCCCATGGTGTCTCCCCCTGGCGGCAGCGCACCCGAGCCAAACTTCGACTGGCCCGACGACGACTTCGGCCTGGAGATGGTGGACCGAGACGGACTCGTGACGGAAGCTGCTGAAGCCGCTGACGCGATGGTCGAGACGGCAGAGGCGTCGCCGCGGCAACCAAGGCCCGACATCGGTCGGTCTGCGTGGCGTCAGTCGATGTGGAAGTTGGCAGTTGTCGTCGCTGTGCTCATTGCATTTTACTTGCTCCCCCTGGCGGGACAGATCAAGGGAGCGGTCATCGGTGCTGTCGTGGCGTTGGTCATCCATCGATTGTTCACCCACATCTTCGCTCCCTCCCAGCCAAAAAAGCCCATACCTGTCGCACCGCTGAAGGAGCTCCCTCCGATGCTGAAACCTGAAGTCCTGTTCTTGAACGTGAAGCAAGGCGTGGGAGAAATTTACAAGGTGAGTTGGTCGTATCGGCACTATGTATAGATAAGTAGTGTGTGCTTTGGTCTGTAGAATCATGCATGCATAACTGTTATAATGCAATGTCTGTTAATCTTTAAGCTATCATTTAATTACTAGAAAGCTCTTTACATATATTTTAGCAGTTCTGCTAATTTGATGTCTGTTAATCTTTAAGCTATCATTTAATTACTAGAAAGCTCTTTACCTATATTTTAGCAGTTCTGCAAATTTGATGTAATATTTTGTTGTTGGTGAATGTAACAGCACTTGCATACCTGCATCCCAGTTTATTTTCACTCCTACTTTCCCCTTTGCTAATAACTAATGCTTCTATAGATCTTTGTTTGCTGCTGTAAACTACTGAAACAATTTTTGTTTTGTGTAACCATAATTCAGTCTGTGGTGATACATGTAAGTAGATGTGTGTTTAGACACGTGTATGCATCACTATATATATAAAGGTTTATTTTTCCAACCTTTCCGTCATTGAAACTATAATTTCCATTGTCATTAACACCGCCACCATCATTGTCAACATTGCTGTCATCACTCTCATTATCGTCACCATCTACGTCGTCATCCTTATGGATGGCATTATATACTGCTTCCAGTGATTGCGCATTGCTTGCTAGTTGGGTTCTCTGCTGAAATGAGTGAAGAATTGAACTACACTAAGTAGATACTTGTGACAAATTGCAGCTAAATTGTTGGCTGTAACTTGTATCTAAATTATTGAATTGTGGCAGTGTCCTGCTAGGCCTGGTCCCAAGACCGGGTGTCCATAAACGACGCGGCAGCATTAGTTGCCCGAGAGCTGGCCATTCACCACGATAGAAATGCCACGGGTCAAGCAGACAAGTGCATTCTGCAGGTGCCGAGGGTCGGCTGTATAGTGGTGCAGTTTCATAGCCGGCACGCTGAGGTCTGACTGCTGTTTCATTGATCGTGGTGTCAAGCACGTGCCAGCTAATTGTGCTTGCCTTCCTATCCAATCATCGACAACCCGTGGCCCTTTTTCGATGGCTGGTGCGTTCTGGAAGGTATTAAAAATTTTATTCGGCTATATGTGATTACAATGAAGGCAGCTGTGACCGTTCTCTGGTCCTTGAAACCAGAGCAGATCAATTGTTCATACAGTTCACTGTACACACATCCGCCTGGAAATTCATAGAAGGTTTAGTATTAATAAAATATGAGCTGCACTGTCTGAATAAATTTGTTGCAAACATGTTATATAAAAGGGTTGCTGCAACTAACAAAATTTTTGAGATCATCAGTCTAAATTCATAACTGCTTCTTCAGGAGAGAGCTTGCAAACAAACAACTCCAGATGACATGATGCATTTTACTTTGCCCATCCTCCCTAAACCAGCTTAAGCTCAATATATATGCCTGTAGAGTGTAGAGCAGTGTGTAGCTCTAATGCTTGCACCACATTCTTAAAACCAAATGGCGGAGACTTTGAACACCTTTTGCAAACTCCATTGCGTCTTTCCCTTTATGTTAGCTTAGCCTTTGCCCCACACACGTCAATATGCCGCTCATAAAATTGCTGCAAACTCTGCAATCTGCCTGCATGGGGTGATTAGCAAGTAGACTTGGTCAACTGGTAATTTGATAGGTGAGAACTCCCTTTAGTAATAAAGTGCTGCAAAATCAACACTTTGGTGTGCGTATGCACATACAGACTCAGCATTAGTAACCCAGCAACGATATTCGAGCTGGCTTCGTGATCTTGCTCAGGCAGATGGTAAATTACACACACAAAATAGTGACTGAGCCAGAGTACAGTATACCCATATATGCCAAAAACTACGTACCAATGTTAGCAATTGCTTTGCAACATTCAAAAACTGGAACGTGCTATAAGGTATTCCAATTTGCAATTATATCAGAGAGAAAGAGAGAGCTCTAGGTGGTAAAAGAGGCGTGTGTGTGTGTATGCGTGCGTGCGTGTGGCAAAAGAATCGCTAACTCTGCACCCTATTAATTTTGCTCGTACGTCAACCCCGTGTTTAACTGTGTGCGTGCTTTGTGCATCCTTCTTGCAGGGCTGGATGAACGAGCTACTGTGTGACTACAGCATTGACGGCCACCACATCAACCAGACGTTCTCTGTCTACGTGCGACTGGAGGGCTACAACCTGCGACTGTCGCGCCCGAAGACGAACATCCCTCATCGCATGATGTTCGATGAACAGCGGCACGATCCGATATTCGTTCATCAGCGGCACTTCGATCTCACCGGCAGTAAGGTGCGGGGCTCGAATTTTGCAGTGGCACGTGCCGTCTCGGTCTCCCTGTTCTTACGTGTCGTGGTGCATCCGATAATTAAACGATGTCGATGCCGTGGCTGCCCTATACCTTGTGTGCTAGCGCTGTGGTGCCCCTCCAATAAATTCTGCATTGCAATTTGCATATATATGTTTTCCTCTTCCAACGTGAGTTCTGTTGTTGCTTCTCTTTTAAAAGTAATGTTTGCCCTGGTGTCAGTCTAATTTACCATGGCGCCCCACATTTTTTTTACTAAACCCAAGGCAATACTTTTCTTGCCCTAAAAACATAGAGATTGGACCCCTGAAGTGCGTGGCGCAACAGCTGGCGAGGTGGCATCGGTCGCATTGATTGCGGCGTCCGTGAGGTCATCGTCACCGCGCTGCACCCTGTCTTCGTGCTAACAGCCAGTAAATTAGCCGGCTAATTAATTGCATCACTTGTCACCTGTTAAATTTGCGCGCATCCTAACGAGTACTGCTGCGTTCGAGATATTGCACCCATACTGCCTCCGCTGCCTTGCTGCTCTTCCCTTCAGTGTCAGCCCAGTAATTGTCACTTGTGGACGCGGCATTAATCAATGAGCTGTTGGGGATTAGTAGTTGGTGAAATCAGCAGATCCTTCTCCCCCCTCCCCCCCGAGCCGAGCTGGCGATGCCTTCGTGTCCGTGATCCATGGCTTGATGTATTGATCGAGGTTCTAACTAGATCGCGAGTGTGAATTGAGGGCCTTCTATTGAGGGTGATCAAAAGCACGGTTAAACACTGTATTTGTTTTCCGTCGCTAGGTGTTTTTGCTTCCTCCCGGACTAGTGTCAAAACGTCTGTGGAGCAAGAAATACCCAATTTGCATTGCGCTAGCGAGGACAGGTAGCAAGAGAACTGTTAAACCGCCTATTGAAACCAACCTGGAAGAAGAACCTGAGCAATGTGCGTAAATGCCAGTGAAGATATAATTCATGGTCATCAATCTATGTTTAAAAAATGTTGCTTAATTGCCTTGTTTTTCTAAACGTTTACATCTACATGTCTGTGTTACATATGCAGCAAATCGTTATTGATATTTGCAGCAAATCGTTATTGATATTTGCAGCAAAATGTGTGCATAGCAAATATAATGGTTCGGTTTTGTAATATAGCCTCATGTCGCTGTAAAAAAGAAATTATTTTAGGGATGATCTCATAAAGCTGTAGAATTGATTTATTGAAGGCCTCTGTTGATCTTGCTTTTAAATTATGCATGATCACTCAGCTGCAAAGAAGCGGTATCGTTTCCACGCACGTGGTGGTGTTAAGTTGACGCTAAGCGAAATCGCTGATTTGATTTATGTAATTACAACGGCATGTCCTCGTGAAGAGGCTACATAAAATTAATTGAATTTGTGAGCATAAAGCCCTACAACCACCGTTTGCTGGCATGTGCATTACAAAATTAATTTAGTCAAGAAGAAGTTGAGTAAGTTGTATGCGAAATTTAATTCCCTTGCGTTCGTGCGTGTACATTCAGACTTACACTAAAGGTCACCTCTATGAAGGACAATTTAGGCATTTCCCTGGAGTGACGACCATTTTATACAAGTTTATACTACTGCATGTATATATATGTATATATATATATATATATATATATATATATATATATATATATATATTGCCGATGTGATGATGTAACAAATCTTCTTGTCACATTTGCTTATCAGCTCTGGGAGGTGAGGTGCCCAGGAGAGAGGAGTGTTCAGAGAGCATCCTCTATCTCTTTGCGCGAACCTGTCGTGAGAAGGAGGAGTGGTTTCGCAGATTCCAGATGACGATATTGTATGCAGATCTTGCTGCGTTGAGCAGCAAGGAGAGGCCAGTGTCTCGCACACCTTCCCTGTCATCCATCAGGTGAGATTTCTGCCCTGTACAACCACAATTGTCTTGCCAGTACACCTTGATCATGAGAGAAGATCAGAAATACATAGCAGTCGTATATACAAATTTAGTTTCGTCTAAAGCAAGCAGATTTGATCATTTATGGACAATTGAGGCATCCTCCTGGAGCAAACCATTGACAGGTAGCTCTAGCCATTTACTGGTGCGATAGCAGCATTTTAAAATTACTGCTTTGTAACCAAAAGCTGCAGAATCGACAACTTGGCATGCACACGTGGGAAACACACACACACTGGTTTAGATTGGCTGACCTAGTAACAGAACCCAAGGAGAGTTGTTATCTCACTCATGCTGATGGGCAAATTATAGTGGAACAACTGTTTAGCCACTTAACGAATGTTGTCGCCCCCCTCCCACATCAGTTCCTCTAGCTCAATGAAGGACGTCGCATCAGAGAGAAAGGAGCAGCAGCAGCAGCCACATGGGAGCTCAGACGTGGAGAAGCCATCTGAAATTGAGATGTCGTCAGTTGCACAGCGGATGGGCCACAGAAAGACGGCGAGCGACGGGGATGTGTCGCCCCTCTCCTCCCCTACGCACGAGCACGAGACGACGGCCGGGTCGTGGTTTGCCGAGGCGGAAAACCTGCTAGGTATGTATCGATCAACAGCCAGTTAGGGTATTTCTAATGTGGGAAACATGATAGGTAAATATTGGACAACAGCTGGAGAGGGTTTTTCTGAAGTGGAAAATTTGCTGGTTAATTATCGAGCAATGCCTGGGGAGCATTTTTCTGAAGTGGGAAATTGACTTTGGGTAATATCGGACTACGGCTGCGAAGTGCTTTTTGCAAATTGGAAAACTGTAAATACGGTACGCGTCTTTGCCGAAGCGAAAAATGTGGCAGGCGAATATTATAGGAAGATGCCTTACATTGTCACATCACTTTATCGTGGTGTGGCACCGAGACAAATGTACTGTAAACATCTCGATGTGTGTGGATCCCGCTAGATGGCACAGGTAGCAAGCCTGGTGAGGAAGTACCCGTGGAGCTATTGCACAGGCGATCGGAATCCGAGCCGAACTTTGCCAGCTTCGACGAGGAGAAATCGCCGCCTTCAGTCGCACGGCAGGAATTGGAAAAGGTACGCACGAACGTACTCGTAACGTGATGTTGGATTAGCGGCACTAATGCAGTTTGCAATACGGAACGTGCTCGGTGAGTTTTCTCTAGGCGTGGTGCATGTCTTCACGATTTCCCGTGATGAATAATCTCTTAAGGTCATTCACTCCTACAGTCTCTGATGCGGTGCTGTCTAACACTGCACTGTATACGTGCTGTGTGCGCTCGACAGTTGAAGAATGTAGATTTGAAAAGCAGCAACGTTATTTGACCATGGTTGTGTGCACATTTCAAGGGTGAGCTGTCAGAGACGGCCAGCTATCCACGGCTGGCAGACGCCAGTGAAGGTGGCACTCAGGGGCATAACGAGCGACGGGTCAAGAGCAGCCAGGTGGCGCCACAGTCGCCCGTGCGTAGCCGCGTGAGCGCCAACACTGCGCAGCAGCTTCAGTTCAACAACTACATGGCCAGACTGATCCCAAGTATGATTGCATGTATAGTAGGCTTGAAACGGTGGTCGCGAGAAAATGTAATGATCTATGTGCTTATACATACCAAAATTTTCTTAACTGCATCAATCAATCAGTGAGTGAGTGAGTGTGTGAGTGAGTGTGTGGCGATGAGTGGATGGGTTTGGGTGTGGAATTGGGTGAATTGCGTGAATTGTTGGCTGAGTGGGTGGGTGAGAGTGTGTGCTATAATCAGTATAATGGAATATATATGCACAGCATATGCACCATGCTGACATATGTATTGCTACTGGTGCTGAGTTACCAGCTTGTAAAATAGTAAGTACCTTTAGTAAAATAAACTGCTTATTGACCACCTAGCTTGCTGATGATGTAGGAAACTATAAAAAGTAATGCGAAGCTCTTCTCTTATCTACAAACTGTGCATATGTACTTTTTTCTGCACGTTGAAATGGTTTTCGCGGAAAATTCTGCAACTGTCCGTGAATTTTATTACGACCTTTCTGTTACTGTCCCTAATCTTTGTCAATTTTCTGTAAAATGTCTGTAATGCTCATTTTTTTATTGAAGTAACGTGGCCGACCCTGAATGCGATGACTGTACTAGAGTTTTTGTCGTTGTCGCTGACAGGTGACAAGCAGGCGGCGACTAACGCTGACTGCCAGGACTCGGTCGCATGGCTGAATGCGCTGCTGGGGAGACTCTTTTGGGACTTCCTCCGAGAGAATCTCTGGGCAGAGAAGGTTGCCGAGAAGATACAGAAGAAACTGAGCATGATAAAGGTATCTGTGGTGATGAGATGAATTTGGCTGGCCTGTCGTGTTTCTGTGGTGCTAACTCCATAGCTTTTTTTTAGCTCATCTGACAAAGTCAGATGTAGCTTGTAGAATCGCATGAATGTCCGTGCGTTCGTGCGTCAACAGTTGGGCACAAATCTTAACCGCTCGACGTACGCTCACGATATTTGGGACGTCGGGGGGGATTGTGAAAAGGACTCAGGATGACAAATTTAGGGGTCAATGGTCAAAGGTCAAGATGTGTAAACGGAGGGGGAATATTTCCCTCTCAACTTAAGGTATAAGAGGAAATACGAAATTGCGGCACAAATCTTAACGGCTCGACCTATGCTCTTAATATTCGGTGCCTAGTGTGATGGGCAGGAAACCCATCACCAGTGCGAAATTGGAGGTCACAGGTCAAAGGGCAGTGGAGGAAAGGTCAGATATCAGACATTTTCTGAGGACATGACCTAATGGACAGAGTGGAAAACTTTTTTGTTTCAGCGCTGACCTACCATTTTTATCACTTTATTGAAAGGACCATGAAATATGCTTTCTACTGACGTGCGAAGAGTACCGTATATGATCGCGTAATAACCGCGGGCGCCTATAAGCCGCACCTCAATTTGAATCGGGTAAGCAAGTATTGCGCCTAGTATATTTCCCCTCACGGTATGGCGCACTTATAAACCACAGAGCAAATACAGGGTTGAAATCTGAGGCAAAATTTGCGGTTATTATGCGAGTATATACGGTAAGTGTCTGATTACCTTTTGACTCTCAAGAGGAGAGTTAAAGGGATAGTTTACTCTAGGTTCTAGGGTTATTTTCAGTTAATTTAGGTTAAAATTACGCTACATAAAAAGTTTCATGGTTCAATCACCATTAGAAATGTTATTAAAAAATGTTTTAAAACTAACGACTACAGTTTGATTACAACGACGGTGGCGCCACTCAAAGCGCATGATCTGATAAGTTGCGCAAAACCACTTTTCAGCCAAGGGCTACAGACCGAGAGTACGTGTTTCTTATTTATTAATTTAAAAGCAAAAGGATTGTACTATCTTATAAACGACATATAGTTTCAGTTATTATGGATAAATTTGTCCTTAAATGAACATCGTTCAGTTAAAAAGCATTTAGGTATGAATATAATTGCACCTTTGTGATTAGCCCTCGGTCTGTAACGTGCAAACAAAATTGGCAAATACGCAACTTTTTCAGGGTGGCAGCACGGTCGGGGGTGTCATAGCGCCGTTCAAATTTCGTAGCGTTGATGTGTAATTAATTATAACAATCAAATTAGGTATCTGGTAACAAATATGTGTGGGTATAGACGATTTGTTATACAGTAAATACAGTTATATGCAGTAAAATCCTAAAGTCTACTATCCCTTTAAACATGGATTCCTGAACTGCCTCAATGATATCACAGTGTTGTCATATTCATGGCACATCCATAATCTAGAAACCCATGCAATAAGCCTGGATAGCCGAATGCGTACAGCACTATTTTTTCCAATTAATGCAAATATTTACATGATTTATTTACAACAATTTAATAACAACAAATTTTTTTTTTAAATAGGGTTAGGGTTAGGGTCACAATGCACCATAAAACAGGGAGTTTCAGGCACGCAATTTGTAACAACCAATGGGATTTGGGAGGTATGCAGAATGCAGAAGGTTGCTGAAATGATGTGTACGCAACTACGTATCTGCATATCTGCGCCTAACACAGGTGTCACTACGCACGACTTAAATGTTACGTTTATAACCGTAGCAACAGACCTCAGATGAGCCCAGACGCTCTGCGGCTCTTGTTATTTTGTGTGTTACTTGCTAAAGTTGGAGACTGTGAACACAATCTGCAAATGGTGGAACTAGTAGGAAATTGCATGGTTTAATCTGAATTGTAACATTACTGTCAAGATCAAATTGTCTGGATAAACATTGTGTACCAGTTAAGCTTTGTATAAATCTGAATCCTGTTTCTGTGAATTCCTGATGGAATCAGTTATTAAGATTTGATATTTCACACTACCAGGTGCCGTATTTCATAGACGAGTTGACCCTTACCGACATTGAGCTGGGTGTATCACTGCCTGTGATGCGCAGGTATGTGTGCCATTACCAGCCTCTGCGTGATTATATACATATAATTGTGCTTCAGTGATGTGTTGTAATTAGCCTGTATTCGGAAAATGAAGCGGACATGTTTATTGTTATTGGATATTATAGAGAGAAGACCAGTACTGATTGGTAATTAAATATTTTTTTCACAGACACATCGAAGAAAGGGATGAGTTATGTTGATATAACATGCATTGTATGGTTCTATATAGTCGAATGCCTTCTTGTTTCCAGGGCGTCGTTGCCATGGGTGGACGATAGAGGGCTCTGGGTTGACCTTGAGGTCGCCTACAGTGGTTCATTCAAGATGACGCTTTCGACCAAGGTCAACCTGATGAAACTGAAGAAGGATCCTGAGATGGCTGGTTCTGACAGCGATGAGACAGACAAAGCTCGACGCGACCTGTATGTAGTCTGCTGGTTCATATAGTGCATGGTCTCCATTGCTGACACTCTGCTATACAGCCCTATAAATCTATAACCTGGTCACGTTAGGTGGTGTATTGTTTTGTTTATCTTAAGTTAAGATGTCAACAGACTCATAGGTTTACTTGCTGAATAATTTGACTTGCTCATGTGTAGGTGTTTGGATGTGTTTATGAGTGTCTGGGTGTATGTATGAATATAACAGATGTGCAGGTAAGATTTTAGACAAAGCTGCTATTCTAAATATATGTAATATGGAGAGTTAATTTTCAGACATGCGTTTTACACCAAAATGAAACGGTAATACTTTTATTTTGGTTAAAATGCTGCTATATGGACTTGAAGATTGCACAATAAAACAAAGCGGTAAAACTGCATGTTATATCTGATAAGATTTGTCATATTATTGCTATTACAAGAAAATTGAAGATAGATATAATTCATATGCATGAAACACTCGACTTTACATAAATATGTAAACAGGTGCTGTTGATATATAATATATAAATACATCAAACAATATATATAATACATAGATCCTATATCTTAAATTAAACAATACTGCTGTTGCAGGTAATTATCTATTGTTTTTTGTGCTGTTAATTTAGTTTTTCCATTTTTAGTTCACCTTGACATCGTCAAGATGAGCTATTAATTGCCATGTCGTACGTCCGTCCGTCCGTTCGTCCGTCAACATTTGTTTACGGTCAACGATAACTTGAGAATCGTTTGACCCACATGTTTCAAATTGCATACAGTTGTTACTCCTATGGGAGAGATGTAAACGTCCTATTTTGGAGCATGCCAGTTAACCTACTTTTGAGCCACGCCCACTTTTTGGCAAAAATGGAAATGGCCATCTAGATTCATTCGATTTTGTTAAATTTACCTACCTATACCTACCTACCTACCTAATCATACCTAAGTGTAATATTGTGTTTTAGATTCTTCGTTACAGTAATTTGACTGGAAAATTTTATTGCTTTTATTTGCGCGATAATCGAAAACCAAAATGGCGATCATTTAGGCGTAGCGCCATCTCTCGCCCAGATTTCAGACTCAGATCTGAAACATTTATTTTCGCATCAAAAATTACGCATATATATAATAATTATCAATAGTATATAATGGGAGATATGCTATATAATGGTATATATGGTACTATATGGTGAGCTATAGTGTCATTGACACTTTCATTTGTTTGAAGGATAGTAGATGTATATCTAAAGTTAATTTCGTAAACGTATAGATGGTGTACACAGGTGTATTTATATACATTTTGCGATGTTTTCCGTAGGTCTGCAGTCACCGATAGCGATGTTGAAGATAGTGCGGAGTCATCGAGTGACGAGGAGAGCCAAGCCCCCGAGGATGCTGTTGTAAAGAACCTTGATGAGAAGTACGTCTCACTTCTTGTGATTCTTACAGTTTTTGGAGTCGACCTGTACGTCCCTCTGTCCTGATTGACAGACAGTTCTATCCAATCAGCATTGCTATAGGCTCATTATAAAAACACTCTTTAGTAGAGAAGTGCTGCACAGTTGACAATTTAGCGTGTGCTTCTGAAAAACATCTTAAAAGTGTCTGGCTTGACTAACTTCGCAGCAATATCAAAGGGAGTGTAGCTATCTCTTTCAGATATATAGGTCAACTTGTGAAATGCAGTGAAGTCTAGGAGTCCGAACATCATGTGTGTGTCGTGTGCGAATTAGCGGCCGGATGACTGATGTAGCGAGCTCACACAGCGCGGACACCCGTCGCGTCTGCTACACGTTGTCGTCAGGCGTCTGCTGTTCTTGTGTTTCAGCTCCCAGAACCCAATCATCATCGGCGGCGCGTCAGTGCAGAAGAAGTTTCTGCGCATGGTCGACAAGATCACGGCGAGCCGCTACTTCCAGCAGGCGACCGAGTACAAGTACATCAAGAAGGCGATGGAGAACGTGTCGAAGGTGCCGCTGCTGCTCACCGTCGAGGTGCACAGCCTCACAGGCACGATGGCCCTCAACGTTCCTCCTCCGCCCACCGACCGGCTGTGGTGAGTCTCAGCGACCGTACGTGCACGCGGGTGTACGCTCGCACATGCATGCACGCATAAACGCATGCACACACTCACGCGTTGCGAGTTCTTGTTTGTATGTGGGAAATTTTGCGTGCACTACAGCACTGTTCGTTTTAGCCCCCTGTCACACACAGGTTGTGGGCTCGTATTCACTCATGCATACCTAGATGTGTGGTTGTACTGGATGTTATAAATAAATTGGCTGTTTGGACAGGATGGGATTCCGAAACAATCCACTTATCTCCATTTCTGCACGTCCCAAGCTCGGAGCCCGGCTAGTGAATATTGAGTACGTCACTGACTGGATAGAGAAAAAACTAGTCTTGGAACTGCAGGTAACCATTTTCGTCACTTAAATATAGTTTTATTAATTAATCATTGAATAATTTCAGTACAATAATCTATTATAATTTGTTAGTTTTTGCAACATTTATTTTTTCCACTCAAAATTTTGTACTGAAAACAAAACTAGAAAAGCTTTGCCAGTGTTGTAAATCCAATCGCTAAAGAAAGTTTTCCTTCTATTACTAAAACTCCCCACCACACAGCTAGCTAGCCATCCACAAGATAACGTAAAGTCTACTTTATTTCTTTATAGAGGGTATTAGTGATGCCCAACATGGATGATCTAGAAATACCAATCATGCAAGGCAACGTGAACGTGCCGAGGCGGCCAGATCTGTGACCTTCAACTTTGACCCCCAGTAGAGCTGTGTGAGCCTTGTACGTGGGTATTCTGCTAGACCGTTTCGATCGCAGCTGCTATTCGCTTGCAGGTTGCGAGCGTGTGCACTACACGATTACTCATGTGATTTGCTATCATGAGCAGGTGCTATGGTATGGCCACAGATGCTACGTAGTAGCTAAAAATAATTAATAATTTGCACGGGTGGTGACTGTCGCGGTAGAAGTCGGAAGCGTGAGAGGAGTTCTCGATACATTTGAGTATGTGCCACTGATGATAGAACCAAATCTGGGATGATTAACGTTTGTAAGCATTTGCTGTAGCTTCAATTTGTTTTGGTACATTCCACCCAGATGCTAAAGAATAATTACTTTTGTCATGTAATTGTTGAATGGCTGAATGGCCAGTGCGAGTCTGCTTTGCTTAACGAAATCTTATTGGTTTTGAAAGTGTTCCCCCCCTATGCTTGCTGTTTTGAATGGTTGTGGCAAGGGGTGAAGCTCAGTAAAACAGGTTACCAAGATTGTCATTAATGTGCAGTTCTATTTTTTAGTTCTTCCCATGTTTCGGTGCTATATTTTGTTTTATATTTTTAGCTCATCTGACATAGTCAGATGCAGCTTGTAGAATCGCATGAGCGTGCGTCCGTGCGTCCGTCCACAGTTGGGCACAAATCTTAACTGCTTGACGTACGGTCACGATATTCGGGACGTCGGGGTGGGGGTGGGGTGGGGGTAAGATCGTCAAAACGAGTTGAGATGTCGAAGCTGGGGGGTCAAAGGTCAAAGGTCAAGAGGTGTAAAAGAAGGGGGAACATTCCCTCCTTAACTTAAGGTATAGGGAGGGAATGCAGAATTGCGGCACAAATCTAAACGGCTCGACCTAGGCTCGTGATCGCGCGCTGTTAGCGTCATGGTAGGAAAGGCCATCACTGTGCCGAATTGGAGGTTACAGGTCAAAGGTGAATGGGGCATAGGGCAGATTTTAGACATTTTCTGGGACATGGTCTGGCGGAGAGCGATTGAAACACTTTTTTGTTTCAGCGGTGACTAGCATTTTTATGGCTTTATTGAAAGTACTACATGAAATGTTACTTCTGCTGACATGCGAAGAGTAAGTGTCGGAACCTTTTGACCTCAAGAGGATGGTTAAACATGGATTTGTTGACTGTTAACAAAGGACTGAACTGCGTTTGCTATTGTGGATGTGAGGCTACAGTTGCACAGTTCAATTGCAAAGGCAAATGTTTTGTTGAACAAGGTTTACGCTCCTTAAATCATATTTTTTTTATTTCTAAAGCAGTCTGTATTAGCACTCTGAGTAGCACCTTGTATTAGCACACTGTAATGAACCCTGAATGCTCGCGTGGGTAGGCAAAAAACGGTGGGGGCAGCCCATTACGCATTGCATGGGGATGTACTTGGCACTATTCTAATCATTAATTATTGCCTGGCAACCTGCAATGCAGATGTGTTAACTCACAGTGAGCGAATTCTCGCCTGCCTGAATATACTTGGATTTCAGCAACTCAATGGGGTGTGGTTATCACGCCAGAAGGGTGATGACATCTTTGATTATTGATGACACTTGCACGCGCCATCTTGCTGCAACTGCTTTTGCTATTAGGCCCCTCCACCCGCCCCCCTCCCCACTCTCCCCCACCACCACCACTACGCTCGCGCTCGCGGCATATTCATGATAACATGTTAATATAGCGAAGTCATTAAAGTGTACACAGCTGTATCTTTATTACTGTACTACCGTATAGCAAAGCCGGTATTATGTATCCTAGATATATGCTCTGAGCGCGAACGCGATGATGGGAGGTGCTCTTCATTCGTTTGCCAGTGAGTTTAGCATCAGAACACCTGCCGTCAGGGTGAGCGCTGTCGCTCTGCGGCACTTGTTTAGTCTCGCTGTGTTTCGGCATCCGTGCTCCGCGAACGCTGAATCCTTGCGTACGAGAAAAATAGCGTATAATTTTGTATTAGTTGTCGTGGCCAATGTACTGTTCCATTTAGAGCTTCATCTAACCTTTGTCTCACATGGATCCATGATTCTTTATACATATATAAGGAGGGAAGGATATGTGGTCTCACATACAAGGAGGTAACTGGATGCGAGAATATTTTTGTTGGGTGGGTATATACTCTCGTCCAGCGCAAATGCGAACACTATTTTTAGAGTGTAGTTGGAATGTGTCTGCCCATTCGTGTCGTAATTCCAGCTTTTGTAATGAATGATGTGATTGTAGAGCTTGTCTATGTTTGGTAAAGCGCTTAGTCAGTTATTGTATAACTAACTGATTTGTCTCATGCGTGTGTAGGAAAGAGCAGTACGGTACTAAAACAGCTATTTTATATATTATTGAAAATTAAAACAAGTGCAAGTGATGTAATCCGGCAGCTGACAGAAGGAGCATATAATAAACAAACCGGGAACAACTGTGAATCATTATTTAAATGTAGGACTAAATAAGTTAATATGAGCCTATGTCATGTGAAAGAAGATGATTATTGTTCATATAGTGAAGTGTTTACGCAGTGTGCCAATGTGATGTCATTGTTCATACTTAGCTGTGTTTTTATAGTGATTTTGGTTTCCAATCACTCACTGGCTGCACCGTCTGAAACAACAGTTCTCCCTTCCCACCTCAGGCGAATGCCTCTTGCGGTTTTTGCACAATGTATAAGAAACGTGCAGACAAAATTCAAGACTGGTGTTGCATTATCTAGAAAATTCATTTTACGTTTTAGTGCAGTTTCTATTCCGGCGTCTACGGTCTAGTCAATAAGATTATTAAGAAACCAAATTGGAAGCGATCTGTGATTTGTTGTTGCGTATATATTCGCTATTTGTTTCCCCGTTTCCCTGAGTCTATGAACAGCATTATTTGCTGGTGAAATCGGCCGGACACACTTGGGCCGGACACACTAAGCGATTAAATCGGGCGATTAAATTGGACGACTAAATTGCCGGTGAAATCGCCTAATGTGTCCACTCAATCGCCGCCGATTTAGTCACCCGATTTAATCGCATAGATAAAAACGTTTTGATATTATCGGGCGATTTAGTCGCCCGATTTAGTTGCCCGATTTAATCGCCTAGTGTGTCCGGGGCCGGCGATAAAATCGCCCGATTGTACAATTCATCAGCCAATCAGAGTTGTTCAATGATACTGACGTAATAGCGATGTTTCATGTTTAGTATGTCATGTCATGTAATAGCGATGCACGCACGCACGCACACACTTGTACGTGCACACGCTCGCACACACGCACGCACGCACGTGTACGTGCACACGCACGCACGCACGCACGAACGCACGCACGTGTACGTACACACGCACGCACGCACGTGTACGTGCACACGCACGCACGCACGCATGCACAATCACGCACGCACGTGTACGTGC